CGCGTTTCACTCAATTTTGATTGTTCACGGCTCAAAAAATGTGTCCATTAAATCTACTGTCGTATTCGACGGGCGAAAAATTGGCTCGGCCACGCCTGCACAAATTTCTATCGTCCACCTCAGTTGCATCTCGCGTGTGTATACAGGGTGTCCCAAAGCTTGTAGACGATTCGTTAACGATCGATTCCCGAGAACGCGAAAATCCTGACGCTAAAACGCGAAAATTATGGTAGTGTTGAGATCGGAGCCATTTCGGACTAGCCAATCAGATTGCCGAGAGAATTCTCGCGTTCGGTTGCAAAATGTGTTGATATAGTTTAAGAAATTTGTACAAATTTCCCCTTCCTAAACATTGACATCAAACTACCACAAACGCATTGCGTCGGCAGGATCGCTCCTCTTATACCCCGAACAATCAATAAACAATAAATCAATATTGCGTGCAATAAAAGTATCCTGATATAACCTAGTTGCACAAAATGTTAAAGCCATTGAACGCCGGCCACTGGACAATGACGACGAATCAATTTCTCAATATCGATTTAATTCTGAGTTCAACGTCGCTTCAATATTACTTCATCTAATTTTGTCCTCATTTCATACGTGAATAATTAATCCGTCGAACATTGTGCTAATAATAATAATAATAATAATAATAATAATAATAATAATAATAATAAAGTCAAAGCTTCTCAAGATACTGGCGCATTGCGGGCGCATAATTCCTATACGATATTGATAGAATAGGATATCTTATACCTGTGGATTTACGGCTGGACATTTCAGGATAAATATCGCGAAAGTTTGCGATCGTATGTCGAACACGCTGCGCGGTCCGCGATAATGCAATAACGGAGTCATCGCCGCGCGTGTATTTTTTCTCCTTTATCCTCGCGAAATACGCGTTATATATTGCGATAGGTATTTGCATGGAAGAATTGAAAATGATTGGCCGCCATAGGTAGGTAATAGTGTGCGATAAATTCGCGGTTAGTCGGCGAGTGAAATGTGACTATCGACGCTCCGATTGATTAATTCGATTAATTTTAATTGGACGCCTATGCATATTCTGAAAGGCCGGGGGGCTAGCGTCAATTTGGTAACTCGATAAATCTATAAAATAGCGCGGTGAAAGTGTGGCTACATTTTATTAAATTCTCTCGCGCGCGCGCACGCGCGCCAAAGGACTTGTGGCGCGCGACACGCCAGATTCAGTAATGGATCATTATTGAACCTCGCAGCAAAGGTGCGGAAATTAAAATTCGCCGATAATTAGATAATTACTTTTGTCGACGGACCAACGACGCTTATTTCGTTACACCATTCCGGCCGGTGAAAGAACACGCCCGCTTGTGCGGTCGTGTCGAGACGTATTTTCGCGCCGTTACAGAGACGACTCAATATTGCGACAAAATATATAATATTCTTTTGCGATTCAGTCATCTAAAAAAAAAAAAAAAAATGTAGAGCGCGCAAGTACCTCTCTAATTCATTTCAAAACTAAAAGCATGAGTAAGACGTATAAAAAATTAAGTCACGTGAAACTCCGTTTCCATTTTGACGATTGCATATTGCAAAATCGTTAAAAGCTGCCGCTGTCGGATAATTTTGCAGTAAAATTCGATGATTCCTGAAATATATATATATATATATATATACCCCTGTTGAAATTATAATGTTTTGGTTGATTTTCATATTATCAAATTCATATCCAAGAATAAATTGTGATATTGATCGCATGTATGTGTGTGTGTGTGTGTATGTGTGTGAGAAGCTGCCTCTCCGTATTTAATAAGTAACAAATATAAAATTTATGCGATACAATTTGTGTCAAATGCGATCGCTAAATGGAAAACACTCGTTGCGATCAGAGAGAGAAGCGATTTATATCGACGATTCTCAATCTCGATCATTCTCATCAATCGATAAATTACAATCACTTATATTTTTATAGACGCACTTCACGAATATTGGCCGAATATTTTTTAAAGCTGTCGGATAAGTCTGTCGTTTTCGACTCGGTGTCAATTACTTTTTCATCCCATGCAACCGTGGCGAAACCGGCTTAACATCGAGTCGGCATTTCTACCTTTAGCCGCGAATTTCTGCTAAGCGACTGCGCCACGAAAATTGAGAATAGAGAGCGGTAAATTAACAGCTAAACGGCACTTAATTCCGCGATAGTTCCCAATTCAATTCGCTGCAATAGGGACGGCGCTGGCTTAACCGGAGGAGGTTATCTTGCGGCAGATATCGGGAGCAATGACAAGCAACTGTCGAGACGAAAGGTGTCACTTGCGATCAGTGTCGTTTACGGGCACGTAAAAAGTTAAACCAGAAACCGACACGTGTTGCTTATTTCTTTTTTTTTTATAATTTTCTGAAATATGTGTCATTAATTATTTCTCCGAAACTGAGCTTCGTATCGATTTGAGATTTTAAAGCAATAATATCTGCTCATCTGGCTCTCAGATAAACCGTGGACAATTACGTCAAAATATTTCATTTCGATATTAATTTTTTCATTGTAAAAGAACTGAAAAATTTGAACTTTTTCCTAATAATAGCTGCCATTTTGTTAATTCTGTTCCATCTTTTTTTCTAGTGATTCACCGAATAATGATAAACCTCCTCAAGATTTCTAGCTAAAATTCGCTCTGATCGGACCATCGAGAGAGTCGAGTTATTACCGCAAAAGCGACAACTTGATAAAAAGACAAGGAGCTATATATTTCAGCTATATATATATATCGTATATTTATACGAGTATTTGTTAATAGACAAAATTTTTCTACTCTTCTCATATGCTGCATAAATATACCTACAATTTTCATTCCTGCACATTTATTCACTTCGTCACAAAATATTATCAAAGACAAACACGATTTTTCAGCAATCTGATTCTCTCCAGTCCCCTTAAACGCGCATCTACGGGAACATATTTCGATCAAACACGTCCGAGACGTCTGCTGGCATCTGCTGGCGCTTTAGCCGGTTTCACGCGCCTACTCCCAAGTTACGTGGTATCCACGGGATACAAATAGATTAAGCATAATAAATTGCCCCGATGCTCCTGGTCACAATTATGCGCGCACACATGCTTCTGCGCCTGCGCGTACAAGCAGAGAACTCCGAAGTGCGCGGAGATTAGACAACTTCAGGGTACTATTGGGCGAGGAACGCGCCATTGTACAGCCTTAGGCTAATATTACATTTGTCGCACGACAATCTTTTCGAATACGTTGATTGGTTAACAAACAGAATATTTCTAGGATTGCTCCGTGCACGGCAATCGATGTATCCGAAAAGCCCGTCGTACGACACATGTAATATTAGCCTTAATCGGATTTATAGCGTGGCTCTCTACTGTATAAGAAAGTTCTTCTTTCTCGGGTTATATCGAGGTTGCCGGTGCGCTAATTGCAGCCGCACCGAATTACACGACGCGCTTCAGAAGCGCGGGGAACGGTGCGAATTTTTCTCTCGCTACGTCGACACGGATTATTCTCCTCCTTTCGTACACAGCCAGTCGCGACGGTCCCCCGGTATAGATTGGCAAAAATACACCAAATGTACCGCCTTTTTTCCTAGGTCCGCGTTAACGAACGTACGTATAATGCAATTTACGCCTCTGTCCCACATTTTCAACGAAGACAGACCTCGTGATGGTCGATCGCGATTTGCAGCCGTCTATTGAAACACTGAGCGAAAATGCGACTTTCCGATAGATCTTATCAACTTCTATCATCCAACGTGTGCCTGCGATGGCGGCTAACTAACGTACTCTCGGCGTACTACAATGCGAAGAATAAAACTCGCGCACATGGAAGGCCACTTTTCATTACGGCAATAACGATGAAATGTAAATCAGTAGATTGTTATACTTTAGTTTCGTTTGGTTTTTGTTCATACTTCGGACTACGAGCCGTGTGCTTCTCGCGTTTCCACCGGGCCGCCGCCATATTGATTTTTGCTCCTCCAGCAGCCCCCCCCTCCCCCCCCTCCTGAATAGGAGCCTACTACAAAAGATCTTTGAACAAATACGGTCGGTAACGGTGGATCCTACACACACACAACCCCCCGCATTTCTGAGGTTACAATATATGGGGCGGCAGCGAGAAAAAAAGCGGAAGCACTGAGTTCACGTCTATTTTAAAAAAATACGAACCGAGCTTTCCACTTCGTTTGACGTATGCTATTACTGAATTAAGTTCCTAATTGAGGAGTTAAAACGCGAAAAACGCTAGAGACAAAATACTGGACGACAGATCCAGCGGTTCCGTCAAACGCCGGAAACGCAAATATAAACTGTCCGGTTTAAAGGTTTGGTTAACTTTTAAACTGATATGTCGGTCTCACAGACCGCTATTGAAACTTTGTTTATCAGTAACTTCTTTGATATCCGCAAGAGGCACTCTAAACTCGGAGTACCTTCGTATGTCATGTGTCTTCATCAAAGGCTGCAGCGGTCCCATTGTCATTGGAAACTTGTAATACGAGACGGTTAAAAAATTGGCAGAGGACTCGCAGACCGGATTTACCGTTTGCGTTACTTTTTTCGCAGTAAAAAATAAAAAGCACAATGAAAGAGCCGCATAATGCATAATGTGCCAACCGACGTTCAAAGAAAAAAAAAAAAAAAGGAAAAAAGAGAAACGTACGAAGTGAAATATCCTGTTCAGTTTTAGATTTACATACAGTTTGTGGAATGTGTTTTCGTTACCAGTTAAATATATTTTATCTTTTATATATATATATATATATATATGAGATTCTTTACAAACCCTCACATATTGAAACATCTTTCCCGTCCGCAAGTATTCGGAATTCGAGATGAAGACACAATTTTTATTGTAAAGAGTTTCAAAAGTGCGTGGAAACATGATGGCGGCACGATGGGATATCGATATTAGTGTGATTCCTTTCAAAGGCATCAGTTTAAAGGTTTCAAGCATGCATTGATCGTTACGTGCGAATATTCACGCTTAAATATTACTCACGATGTTTGACGTGCAGTCTAGGAATGGGGTCCTGCGGCCAAGCCACATTTCGTGCGACTAAGCTGATCAGAGCCAAAATTCGCAGCGACGCGCTCATCCTGGAAACGAATAGCCCTGCAGGATATCCCATGAATCAACGGTAACTTTGAAGCCTCATCATCATCGCCTGGCCGATCGTTACTCCTGCAATCATAGAATTGGTGTTGTAAGCCTGCAATTCCACGAATACGTACTCGTCGAATATGTATTCGCGCGCGCGCGCGTTTTAATTAATCGACGGAAAATCGCGCGGTCGAAGCAATAATAAAATCTCCCGAATTATTTAATCGCGATAACGCATTATTTCATACGGCGAAATGCCGCGACGCATGCCGATTAAAAAATCGCATTCATAATACGAGAGGGATTTTAGCCAAACCGCAATTGTGTGTTCCTATTCTTCTGAAAACCGATATATGTAGCTACAGGAATCATTGAATAGTTAATAAATTAATATCGAGAATTTAAACATTGCAAAATGTTTCAGAGAGAGAGAGAGAGAGAGAGAGAGAGAGAGATAGATCTTTTATTAATAAACACATTTTATTCGGAATAAAAATTTTAAAACATTTTTACTAAAAGCAGAACGATGGCCCCGTAATCAGATTAATCATGACGTTTATTTGGAATTCAAGTGATATATTACAACTGACATTCTGTTCTTTCGATGGGCCGGAACACTCATATTTTACAAATATCCGCAATAATCTCATTTTAACTACCATCTGGAAAAGTTGGAACTGCGATAAAGAATATCCAAGAACCGTTTATCGGGACCATGCGCCATCTATATAATACAAGAGTTGTAAAGGAATGGTTCCCAACATTTCGATGTAGTGATTTTAATTTGGAAGATGATCTGAACGGCCTTCAAGCACTGATAACGAAATTGCGAGTCGTTTAGTGAATAGTAATCTACGAGTTTCAAAAGAAGTTGCGGAGAGGTTAAACGTCGATAGAGACCGACGATCATTCCGGCGCGCAAAAAATTGAGTACGCTCCAACCAAAGCTTGATATTTGGGTGTCACCTGTTCTGAAGAGGACAAAATTGAGTTTCCGCCGCAAAACTGCTTCATTCTATTTTTCCGTTCGACCGACCGAAGAAAGATTCGCATCTGAATCGATTAGCGACCGGCTACGAAAGATGGCTATGAAAAATGGATCCTATCGAAGACGTTCGACGCAAACGGACTCGAAAAGAAAGAGATAAACTCGGTGAGCCTGTGCCAAACACCCGACTCGTATCCTCAGAAGCCTGATGCCTGATTATCTGCCTGGTAGGACTGCAAAGGCGTAATCTTTTTTCAATTGCTCGCTATTGGTCAAACGATTAATTCCAACAAGTACTGTCAACAACTGGATGATTCGAAGGCAGCGATCCAAGAAAAACGTCCGATTTCGGTCAATCGGAAAGCGTTGTCGTGTCGTCCTTCGCCACGACAACGCCAGACCTCACGTTTCAATGCAGACACAGCACAAGCTGAGAGAGCTGAACTGGGAGCTTTCATTGCATCCTCCGTATTCTCCTGACATCGCACCATCAGACTATCACTTGTCCCGGTCATTAGAGAACGGTTTGAATGAGAGTAACTTTTCATCCTTCAAAGCCTTCAAAAACCACGTTTTTTCACGAGAAACCTACGTGATATCTGTATATATCTTCGGCATGTTGAAAAAGGATATCATCATAGAGGATGATGGAAAATATTTGGCCGATTAGATGAAAACCTTTGCGCTTCACATTACCAAATGAGTCTTCGTCTGAGAGAAAAGAGGCGCGAACTTTTGCACTCACCCTAGATACATGCACCTTCAAACTAAACGCGTTTGAACCCTTACGCGGACTATGAAGGAGATGCCGTCATGACAGAGAGAAAGGATCATATAAGGAACGGAACGAAGAAAGCGAGCGAGCCTTTTGTCCTCCATTGCGTTCTCTTTTTTTCATGCAGAACTTATATATGCATATCTTCTTGCCGAGGGAAACTACCACTTGGAATAAGTAAGAGAAAGCATGAAGAAGGATAAAAGGCTAACGAAGGAACGAAAAGGTGGGCGGGAGGAAGCGAGTGAGAGAGGCGAAGGCGACCACCGACTCCGACGACTGCAACAACGACGATGAAGAAGACGACGACGATGTTATGCATTATGCAGAGAGGTCGCTAGCTCGAGTTTCTATTTGTCCTGAGGCCGTGTAGACCGTCGTCTAACGCCGCGAATACGTTCAAGATTAAACGTAGTATCGAACATGTATATTCACACGCACGTACAGGGTGTTCGTGAAACACGCAGCCGTATGTCCGTGATACATCGAGGGTGGTTGAGCAAGCGGGGAGAAGAGAGAGAGAGAGAGAGAGAGAGAGAGAGAGAGAGAGAGAGAGAGAGAGAGAGAGAGAGAGAGAGAGAGAGAGAGAGAGAGAGAGAGAGAGAGAGAGAGCAAGGTCCGCGTGTCTGAGATACGTCGCGTTGTACCGCTCGAGACTCTTTCGCCGAGAGAAGAATCGGATCTAAGAAGTTAAACGTCGACTCGTCGACTGGAAACAAAAAAGCAAGAAAGATCAACGAGATAACAATTTGCGCGGCAATCACGAGCGAATCGGCGAAACGAGACGTTTCGCGATCGCAATTTTTATCACTTATTGATGTAGCATTTTTTTCGTCAGGTTTAGCTTGTTTCGCGGCGAACCGGACCGATAACGGAGCGAGGATGACGAATTTCACTCTTTTATCGCGAAACATATCGCAGCTCTGCATATTGGTTGGAAAAAATTACGAAAGAATTATGGTGAAATTATAAAAGCCCATTCGTAATAATATGCGGATATACACCGAGAATGGCCGGAGGGGGAGGGGGAGTCCGTGAACCGACGAACAAAGCCTACATTCGCGCGGACGGACACGGAGTATCACACGTTTATTGTTGTAACCGACGTGGCGATAATGGCGTCTCGCTGGCTTGAACGGTGATTCTCTCTCGTGACCTTTTAGCACCTTTTGACTGCCACGGAGATTATACCGTCCGATCGACACTTGACTCTTCAGTGGCGCCATGAAGGTCACCGGTGATTCTCGCCAGCGAGACGAATCACCGCGCGCATTCTGATTTAACCGCGCGATGCGATATTTTATCGTTTTTAACATGTGTTATAGCAATAAAAATTGTAACGATAAAAATCTCACATTCGCGATATGAAGATACGTGCACAAGAAATTTAGCTACGCGTTACGGGACGCAACGCGAACGATTAACGGCCAACACACGTTACGCAAAATGATGGACGTGTCTGCAATGTCCGAAAAATGAAAATCTCGGCGAACGGGACAATTTCCCGAAAAGTAATAATCTCATAATTCGGATGCCGAGGCAATCTCCCGAAGTATGACCTTTCCCGCATATCGGAAGTGTGCAATTATTCAGGAAAGTTATAATACCGCAATGGTACAACAACAGTAGCAGCTTTCCTGAAGGAAACGGTCGCAATAAGGATATTAAAAGTAGCAACTGTAAGAGTTAAGTGACCAATAATGTATTACACGGGAGCGAGACCCGTGCCGTATGCATTTTCCTCTTCTGTCTATTATTTACTCTAATCATCGAACCGGGTGAATAGACGAGCAACTCGAGATAGTAAACACAAAAATAGATCGCGGGACGATAACATGGTTCAGACGCCCGTCGGCGAAGGTCGAGCGAGATACGGAAACGCACCGAAGGCTAGAGCACCTTCGAGTCAAGTTCTCGCGCAATTACCTCACGCGACAGTTGATCAACAAAACTCGGCGGTTCGAGCGGGAATGCACAGAGAGAACGATTTAGTTGAATCTAACAAATGCTTCTTTGGAATAGTCCAAATACATTTTTTGATTGATCGAACAAAATTTTGTTTGACGCAACAAAAACATTTCGTTGGAGCTAAGCTGCAACAAAATATTATTTTGTCGCGTCAAACGAAACTTCGTTCGATCAATCAAAAAATTTATTTGGACTATTCCAAATAAGCATCTGTTAGATTCAACTAAATCGTTCTCTCTGTGCGCGCACACTCGAACCGCTGGCAGGTAGTCGGAGATCTCCAAGGGAAAACGCAAGGGACGACACCGGTGCGATTTGGAAGCAAGAGAAATCAACTAATTGCGTAAGAGAACAATGCTCGCGACCTCGGTCATCCGCTGATCATTAGAAAATAATAATTTGATTAACACTCACCAACCTTCCGCACGAGTGGCGACGGCACGTCTCTTTCGGGCGTCCAACAGCGACTAACTGCCTACCTCTATCGTTTTTATGATCCGCGTCTCTATCTTCCAAACGTAAACACACGGTTCTCCCCACCATTAACCTCAACCTGGGATCGTTATTGTTTTCTAACGCTCCGAACGCCCGAATTGCGGATTTTCATACGAAATATCCACACCTCACACGACAGGGATGGTTAAGTATTGGAAACGATAATTTGGTTCAATATTTTTTTACACTTGTATGCTTTGAAGCTATTCGCAACAATAGATCGATGGCGCTTATTAGACAAGGGGGGGAGAAGGAGGGAAAAGGAAAAAGGAGGCGAAATAGCAAAGAAAAGGAGAAACAAAAATAATATTTGTCTTCTATACGAAAGAATATGTGTCTTACACAACAGTTTTTGGCTTTCGGAATTTCTAAAATTCCGAATTTCTTACCGAGGCACTGAAATTATACTCGCCCAGTCGGGCGCGCATTAGTATCTTATTCACTTCATTCATATTGATATACTCTTGTGTGTTCTACTTTCGCCATAACAGTTCCTCTTCGGAGCGATTGTATATTTCGAGGGAATCGTAAACTCTCTCAGCAAATTGTACACTATCTCGGGATATTCGCTCGATATTCGGGTTTCGGTATTACGACTTTTCGAGAAATCGTCCCGGCTCCCGAGTCGGCTCGCGAGGGGATGTTGACTTTTCAGGATAATGCACGTCTGCCGACGTTTGCGCCCTCAGTTACGGCCTCAGAGCGCTGCGAACGCCCCCTCTTGGCCGCGTACTCGACGAACACCCAGTGTGTATCAAGACAGCCTTATAAATCTCCGGAGAGCGAAATTATCATTCCGCGCTACGCGCGACGCTTGATTTTCTTCGGGCTTCGTAAGTTCGCCGGGGCGACGAA